CTATTGAACTACTCACTGCTGTAAGGTTAACAATATGAAAACTATGGTTTATAGTAGTCACNCTAGCGTTAATGGTACCACAAAACTGGTATGCATTATGTCGTTTCGCCGTTCACATCGACCATAAAACTGCAGTTTTTAGCGAATTTGCGTGTTAACGGTGGCTAATCATAAGATCAACTCGATTTAATCCTCCTAAGGAAATTGCAAACATAAAAGGATTTACACACACTGGCAAGGCGGATTACAAATGAATACGACGGTTTTGAACCGTCCAAGTCTTTTATCGATAACCGGTTTTTGGTAGGAAAAAATGCGCAGTGAAACCGGTATTGCTTACTGTGGCTTCATTTGAGTGGCCGTGCACCGAGTGAAAGGAATTTTCGTATACGGTGATATCGAAGTTCTGGAACTGGGCAAACAATTTCAATCTTAATTCTTTAAGCTTACTCAAAATACGACTGATTTTCTAAATATAACTAAAATTGAACAGGAAAAAAAGGAAAACTGAAGTTTGAACAGAACTTGAATCGACTAGAGATCAACAGTAAGCAATTTACTGCTATTGAACTACTCACTGCTGTAAGGTTAACAATATGAAAACTATGGTTTATAGTAGTCACACATGGATGGTTAGCCCAATAAGTTAGATGTGACCATCGATAATCGAGAATGAATGAAGCTCAGACTTGAGGATCAAGAAATAACAGATAACGCGATTATCCACTTATTTCAAGCCATAAAACTATTACTCTTTTAAAACATCATGTAACATGTCCTTTGTTGAGTTCTGAATGTGGCAAGGAGCTGATTGTAAACTTGATGATAATTATGAATTGATGTGTGTATGTGTAATGATTTGTGAATCGAATTCGTTGTTATCGACGGTGTATTTGTTGTGTGTGTTAGTACGAACGAATATAAGAAGACGCAAAATTTAATTGGAGCAAATTGAACGTAGCCAATCTAGTGGGGGATAGATAATGGTCGTTGTGAAAAGAAACAAATATTTTGTAGTTGTGAATTAGTAGACACACACACATTCACGTCAAAAGACACTCGCTCGTTTGTAGGTTTGAGCAAAATGCAAGTTTGAATATAACACATAATCATAATCATCATAATAACTACCGGTTTTTATGCTCATTGTCAGAAATTATTTATTTGTGCTCATATAAATTTGACAAAACAGTATATCGAACAGTAGAGCTGTTAATCTGTAATTGCAGTTATCAATTTTGCTTTTGGGCTTAAAACAGATCATGTTTGCTTATGCAATAGATCATAGTTTCAGAGATTTCCATTTGAACGGGATTATCGACCCAATGAAAGTGTTTAACCTACTCAGTCGGGGATCGTTCGCTGCCGCACCGTACCATCCAGCTGCTGACTGTGGGTTTGTCATATAACTGAAGCTGAAACAAGCAAAACGTTCAAATCATTTTGTTTGGTCAATAGATATCTTCTCAAATGATCAAGAAACAGTATTCATCAGTCGTGATCCAGCAAATATTTGTAAAAGTTCAGAACAGCGCACTTTCAGATTTTCAACTCTGTTTCACCCAAATATTACGGCAAAACTTCTGTGAACTTTCGATTAGAAGGACAATATTGCCATTTAATATTCAGATGAGATCTTCTAAGGCGAAGAGAACGAACCTAGAGAAATCCGGAGCAGTCTGATAGCTGTTTGAAAAATGACCGGTCAAATAAGGTGATGCTCCGAAGGCAGATTGTGCGGTGGCTTGCGAGGTGGCGGCAACGCTAGCCGCAGCTGATGAGGGTTGAATAGCGGCCGCATTGGATGGTCGATAACCCGAAAAACCGAGTGTGCTCGGATCGAGCGTGCTCACCGGTGTGCTACTCGTCATCTTCAAGAAGCGTTGATGCGCTCGAGCTAAAACTGCTGAGAAAATACGATATAATCATGTTTTAAAGCGATCATATTCACACATCAATCAATCACATAACGATAATTATCACTTCAAATCGTTCAATTGAACCAATCTTCATAAAAATCTTTTCAAAACAACGTTGATGCTAATGAACAGGATATTTTCATTCTATGTGAATAAACTCGGATGCCATAGTCAGGTATGATATACAATAAAGTCGTTGAAATCAAGCACCGATCAAGTATCCTATCAAATAGATCATAATAATTTCCATCGTGATTTCAGGTAACACCTATGAAGTTGCATCGCAATTGATCAAGGACAAATGAAGTATACAGTCAATGAACAGGCCAAA